ATGAAAATGACTTAGAGCTTTAAACAGTGAGCAAAATTATGTCTAAATGCCTATATATTTCTGCGTACAGCTCAGACGTACGGTGACTGTTGGGTTCTATTTATCATCTAAATATGTTTTTCAGACACAGAATACAAAATATTGTTCTTTTAAAAAAATATAAAGTAATGTGTTTTTTTTGTTTTGTTTTTTTTTTTTAAATAAATTTACTTTTAAAAATAATTATTCTTTGGCGACCTACAAATTCCTGATATGATGCTAATTAAATTCAGTAGTACTTGCACTGGTGCTAGGATAGATTTTCATCCACTAATGTCACTACGGAACAGTGGCGTATCTAGGATTATTACCGCACGGGGCAAACATCTTTGTCTAACTTGATTGTAAACAAATGCTCTAACTTTATCATTTTGTTCGATCATATCTGGGAGAAATAAAAACCAGTTGACGAGAGTTATTCCCCTTTAAAAGTTTAAAAAGTATCCAACTTGTGATTCGCATTTATAATATTAATTTTGGAACGTGCCGATAAAATCGTGGGTTAAAATTGGGGAAACGTGCTGTCAACTGATTTTTAAATCAAATTCAATTGCCAAAACTTCTTAAAATTCATTAGTCTATATATATTTGCAACATAAAGCCTTTATAAGAGTGATTCTCCTAGAAGCAAGGGGGCCCCCAAGAAGCGCGGGGCCCTGGGCAAGTGCCCACTGTGCCCATGCCTTAAGACGGCACTGACTGGAGCTGGACAGGACATAGGCAACCCGCCAATACAAGGTAGGACGTAGGCAGCTTGCTACAGGACAGGAAGTTGGTAACTCAGTGGAGCTGAACAGGACATTGATAACTGGATACAGGGCAGGACGTGGGTAGCTGAATAGAGTCACTGGCGTCGGCAGCTCATTCAAACTTGACACACGGTGGCGGCAGGGCTCCGACCATGGAGCACAGGAACAGGCGACGACGCTGATGGTACAGTTGAAATAATAAAAAAAGTTCTTGTACTTGACCTCGTAATGAGAAAATCATGTAAGCACCTATGTCGAATTCCATATATGATTGGTTTCTTCTCATCAAATTCTTTAACATATTCATCCGTCATATTCACACCGAATTGAACCGCATCTGGAAATTTGTTTGAAAGAAATTTCGTGGTCGGAAAATTGATCGACGGAAATTTGATCGAACGAAAATTTGGTCAAACGGAAATTTGGTCTAATCTTTTTTTTCCCACTTTACACGTCAAAACTTTGCGTCAAATTTCAATAAAACACAATATTCGGAGCGCAAGAATTACTAGTAAACTCCAATACTCGACAACACCCTTCAACCACGTTTAGACAAGCTGTTAACAGGTTGGTTGTACATGCAATGGGCCTATCACCGAAGATTTGATCAATGGACTAATAAAACTTATTTTCCGTTAATTTAGTATTTACAATTATTTTGTTGTTCTGGCGATGCCCCTAGAATTTAGCGATCCAGGCAGCTTGTTAAAATTCATTGAACACCAAATGATGCGTTACAAATATGGGGGCCTCATTGCGGGATATCGATGTAGAGTACATCCATTGGGAATGCTCTGCTTAGAACCACTGTGTACACTACAGTCACAAAATTGTCAGGGTTGTTTCTCGGGTTTTTTTAGGAGTTGTTGACGAATGGACCATACTGTGAGCCTCCATTCCACTTAAGCTACCTACCGGTCCTGCAGTGTTATTATTTGACGTGCTGTGGTAAGGTATCTCTTTAGTAATGAAAATATGTTGAATCAATTCATATCTAAGACAAATTTTTAAAGGAAAGATCCACTTCCACCCTTTAAAACATTTGATATTAATGCAATATTTACTTATTATTGATGTATCATTTAATTAGTCAGATGATGTAAATATCTTTTAACAGTTTCATTAATGTTTAGAGTAGATGGACAAATAAAATGTGAAAAGCATTTTTGGATGTTTCGAGTATTCCTTATTATAAAACAGTTGTGATTTTGTTGTGCTGATAACAATGGAACAAATCGTTTAAGTTCAAACAATGTACAGAGTGAAAAGTATTTAGATCAACCTGCCACATGATTATTGTGATTTAGATGATGAATTATTCTTTTTTAATTCAGAGGAAGAGCCTTAACCTCTACCCCCACCTCCTCAAATACGTGGTCCCTCCGTTGTAAGTCTCGACTATAGGGTTTCTCCAGCGGGATTCCCCCGGATCCCACAAGTTGGTATAGGTAACCAAAAGACGTCTCGTGAAATCAGCCTTCTGTTCGAATTCTAGGGACACCTCATTTCTGACGCATCAACTTTGAACTTTACATAAAGTGTCCATTTTGGATTAGTTATATGTACGTGTTATCGGTCATCCTTGTATGAAATTCTGTTAGACCGAGCGGTGTATGCTCTGTTAGAAATGGTAAAACTACTCATTATTGTTATTTGTAAAATTATTAGTTTTGCATTTCAAGAAATCAAAGCTTGTCACGGACTGTCGCCATAAGCCAGTGCCTGTAAAATCTAGACAATTGCGTTCAGATATCAAGCTCAGTAGCTCCAGTACACATGTTCTAATGAGCTAGTACACATGTTCTAATGAGTAAATACACATGTTCTAATGAGTTAGTACACATGTTCTAATGAGCTAGTACACATGTTCTAATAAGTAAATACACACTTTCTAATGAGTTAGTACAAATGTTCTAATGAATTAGTACACATGTTCTAATGAGCTAGTACACATGTTCTAATGACCTAGTACACATGTTCTAATGAGTAAATACACATGTTCTAATGAGTAAATACACATGTTCTAAAGAGCTAGTACACATGTTCTAATGAGCGAGTACACATGTTCTAATGAGTTAGTACACATATTCTAATGAGTTAGTACGCATGTTCTAATGATTTAGTACACATGTTTTAAAGAGTTTTAAGGTCAAGGCCAGCTTTAACTAGCAGCAAAGTGAACCTTACCACGATATATTGGAAAAGGGGATTTTATATCAGGTAAATTATTGGAAACGAAAACATTAAAGCTAGAGTTTTCAATATCAAATACTTTTAATAAGCCACTTACTTTACACCATCACTGATACTGTCAATTAAACCTTAAGTCGTCTATTAAAAAAGGGGGGAAACACATAAAAAATCAACATTTCTCTTAGTCTTTTTGTTACAGCCGGCATCCCCTTCACAACCCCATGTGATGTCCTGTCCCATGAGTTGGGAACCTTTGCTCTAGTAGCTTGAAAGTGCTAGGATGTTCATTTGCCCAAACATATTTAGATTATGTAGTTTAATTTTTAATTCCTAAAACTCACCTATTAAGACACATATATATGTCTATGGTTATATGTATATGGTTATATGTTTGGAAACTGTACGTGTGATTGGTTATTTTTGTAAGCAATTCCGTTAGACCGAGCAGTGTGTGCTCTGTTAGACCGAGCGGTGTGTGCTCTGTTAGACCGAGCGGTGTGTGCTCTGTTAGACCGAGCGGTGTGTGCTCTGTTAGACCGAGCGGTGTGTGCTCTGTTAGACCGAGCAGTGTGTGCTCTGTAAATATGCAATTTTCCAGTTTGGTGTCACCCCTGAGATGGTGTCACCCGGTGCGGTCCGCACACCCACCCACACCACCATAGCTACGCCACTGGCCAGTAATAGATACTTAGATTTTTGTCACTTTTTTCCACATATTGTCATTTTTGGTTTTCTTTTCTTATTTACCGTACTCAACAAAAGAATTTTAAAAAAGCTAAAATTCTCACACCTCATTTCCTTGATCATTTATAAACTTAATTTAAAGCTGCAATGCAAAAAAAAAAAACACTCACCCACTTGACACACGGTTATGCTTGTAAATTTTATGTAGGGGACTCGAACTAATCTACTTAAGAAAACCAGCAATTTATCCAGCCGAAGTTCATGTAGTTTTCTCCAGCCCCCCCCCCCCTACTCCCAACCGGCTTTCAACCCTCCCCCAGTGATCTTTATTCCAGTCAGGCCACGAAGTGGTGCGCCGAGGGCATTCCGCCCCTGAGACAGCCACACTCACCCTTCCACTCGATTGACTATGCGAGTGAGGCGGCGTCAGAGAAGGAACACCTGGCCGGTCGGGGTGCTTGCTCCCGCAGCAACCGGTCCGGACTATCTAGACCTGGGGTGGATTTTTTTTTACATCCCTATGCCCCTTTCCCACCCCGGGGGACGCGTAGTTGTTTAACAGACGCCCTCTAAATGGATTTACCTGGTTTTCTTCGGTCTGACAAACTCACACCGCAGCTGGTAGAGAAAGAGGTTGCCTAAGAGCAGTACCCTCAGAGGCTGAATATTTAGAATCATCATTGAGGGTCACCACGTTTCCTCACCTCATATCCATATGACCGCTATAATCATTTCCCGACCTGCGCTATTTTCGACTGTACTTGGTAGGAACCATGCAGCAGTGCTCTTTCTAACACAGTTCCCGTGCGTTACCTTTGCCTTTCAGCGCAGGTCCCCTACACGGTGATACTGTCCCCCTGGTAACGTTCCAGGGGGTTTGTGGCAAACGCCTCTTTATCGACATTCCATTTTTGGGGCGGACCCGAACTCGTATTTGCGACCTGTCAAGATTGTACGTCGTTCTATAACATAGACTATGTAGTTTAGTTTACATTCAAGGTTTCCCTCTATGTTTTACGGAAATTATTATAATTTTATTGATTTTTCTCCAAATTTAACCTTGCAGGCAGCATGGCGTTAATCAAACGTAACATTCATCAGTCTAAAAAATTCCTGCTGCCATCTTTCATAGTCGTGATGGTCTTTGTTTTTAACGCCTTGTCTTTCGGATGGAAGTGGAGTGGGACCATTTCGTGTGTTGGCGATACCTCGGCTGTAGCAAATAGCTTACACTTTGAAGATGTAGAAACTACGGTGCGGGGAGGAGCGGTAACACCTGCACCCAACACGCCGTCCGAGACCATGCCAGGCGTGCTACAAAAGGTGGAACTCTCGTGTCCAGGCGTGCTCGACAGGATGCTGACTGGACGCTGGGAACTTAAGAACCACACGGCCAAAGAACTGGAAGAGGTGGAGATGTTCATGAGCAGAACGAGGGCGTACCATAAGCTGCCCCCAACTCTACAACGTGAGGATAAGAAATGTGGTAGGTCAGTTGGTCACTCTGGGAATATTTAAGATAATCAAACATGACTAGACTTTGATTATTTCAAGTTCTTTGAAACATGTCAACAATAATGCATTTTTACTTCCATATAGCAAGGTATTTATTTTATGTAAAAAAAAATATAAATTTTTAAAAGTTCGACCCAAAAAATGTCGGTACAATTTGACAATGATGTAGATATTTTCCCTTATTTGAATATCAATTAATTTTCTTTTCAGGCAATATAAATTTCCCCGGCAAGGAATGGCAGAGAGCAGTATGCAACCCTAAAGGCGACACCCCGTGCTGTATGAACAACTTTTGTGTCAATAAATCTGTCCAAGAGTGTCAATGTCCAGAATGTCATGACATGAGACAGCAGATCCATGCTGAGTTTGCCACCTGGGTACCTGCGGACCCTACCTGTAAGGTGAGTCATACCCTTATAGGAAATCTATAGAAGGTAAAATGGCCAGAAGCTATTGAGAGTTAAAGTAGAGGCATCTTCTAACGTGCTATGGGTCACACAAACGACGTGTTCATTGTGTACATATATTGCCTTGAGTACGCCTGTCTTGTTTATCACATTTGTATTCATACCATAATCATCCCTTTACTTATCTAAGAATCCCAATAGAATCCTAATTATCATATTTCATTTAATTTTCATAGTGCTAGAACTTATTTTATTCTATAATCAACTTTTATTTCATTCAACTTTTTTGAATCTTGCTTATTTTTTCTTCTGTCATTTTTTTTTATATTTATCTTGTTATAGTCTGTGTGTTGACCTCTTTTTTTGTTTAACACACGCCATGGCATTCAACCTTACCTGCCCCTACTTTTGTTTTGATATTGAAGTCATCGACTAAATGTGTAACGCTCTACAACACGCTCCCCCCCCCCCTTTAATGGGAAGAGATTGCGTACGTTCAAATTTATTCTAAAGAATGCCATTGAATTATGCCTTTTCTTTAATTTTTTTTTTTTTGGTGGTTTTTAAAATTTTTTATTAATAATCTGGCAGTTTTCCCAGCCTAGAGAGATTAATGCTTTATTTCCTAGACATTTACAAGACGTCATAGACAAAAAAGGAGCCTTGCAAGATTTTACTCTTTATGTGTGTGTATAAATTAATATTTGTATCTTTCATGGATTATAGCTTTTCACTTGCTATGCTGTAAACTAAATAGATTTTTATTACTGAATATTTTTATATAGTATTTCTATATAAATTTAGCAGTATGTTAAAATTGAATCTTGTTAACATGAGTAGGTATTGTATTGTCTTTCCGTGTATACTTGTTTTCATCTTTGTTACGTATTGCTCAACAAACGAGCCTAATCCTAAAAAGATTTCATTTTCAAAAACCATGCAAAGGTACCGGTACGTAATAATCACTTTTATTTGCAAACTTCACTTCTTATACTTTAAATTTAACTTAAAATCGAAAAAAAAAAAAATTGTTAATTGTCCCAACTTGCAGATGTCTCAGTTGACTCACCTAAAAGATGAGTGCAGCGTGCTCCACAACAAGACCATCTACATCATAGGGGACTCCTTCATGCGCCAGCTGCATACGTCACTGCTCACCTTGTTGAGACACAGCCAGAATAGAAGCATCCTTCGAGATGACTCGTCTCAAGGTCAGTTGGTGTACAATGTCACGCAATCGTACGTGGTGGGAAAACACTAAAGTGTAGGAGACTTACATTACAACAACGATTGAAACTAGAAGAACGAAGGAGTCTCAAAAGATAACGAGAGTGTGTCCTCTACTTTCTTTAGTAGCGAAAGTAACTTTATTTCAACGAACGAGAATGTTTGTCTTTACCTCCTTGCTAAGAATACTTTTAAACACAGTGCATTTTTTTTAATAATTAATTTTTAAGTGATGACTCCATCACCATTGTTTATATCAAAAGTTACCACTATGTGCCTTAGTGAAAACTCTTTGTAGATTACACAGAAAAATGTGCTTTCGCGAACTCAATTTTTGAGGAATAAGCTTATTGTATGGAATTTTGCAAGTAATAAATTGCCTTAATCAAATTTACAGATTTTTTTTTGACGGCTGATATAACCATAGAGTTAAATTTTCTCCCTTTCAGCTGTTAAAACGAAATGTGACAAGTATTACTCGTACTTTACCGACTGCGCAGGACACCTAATTCGTGACTCCAGTGAGTGTAATAATACAGTAAGAATTTTTGTCTTAAATAACGTGTCCCACTTATACTCAGAAATGTAACACGTTTACGTAGTTCAATTCTTTATTTCTAAGCATTTCTTCCGCTCATTAAAAATATATGTACACACATTTTTAACTGCTTCATATCGTATATTATATATTGTATTGATTTAGATATTATATTTACGTTAGCACGCCTACGATGCCAATATTAATGACATTAAAAGTCACTGAATTAATTGTAGGGACGAATGACAACAAAAAGTTGATTCGCGCTCTTGATACAAATGCTAAGGAAGCTCGCGTTGGAATCGAAATGACATTCTCAGGCCTGGAAACGATTGCCTTACATTTGCAGGTCAAACTGTACAACGATTATCTCGGGGATTCATTCCTGGTCAAAGAGATTCTGCAGCACGGAGAGAGGCTCATCGGAAGGGAGAACGCTTGGTTTCTATTTGGTCTTGGCGTCCACTGGAACGTAAACTTCCAACTGATAAAAGAGAAGTGAGTTACGTCTATAGACAATGTATTTCTGGGGTAGCTGGTTAAATGTTTACAGGCAAAATGTTTACTGACTCATTTGTTTTATTTTACTATTGGAAACAACGGACTTTAAAAAAAAAAAAAAACAATGTGTTACGTCTATAGACAATGTATTTCTGGGGTAGCTGGTTAAATGTTTACAGGCAAAATGTTTACTGACTCATTTGTTTTATTTTACTATTGGAAACAACGGACTTTAAAAAAAAAAAAAACAATGACATTGTCATCCTTGCATTCATCCCCCCTCCCCCTCTTTTTCACCTCTTGGATCATAATTAACAAATATTGTCAGTTGTCACGTGATTGCTTTAGATTCATGAATTTAAAAAATGTTTCATTAATCAAAAGATGCCAATTTTTCTATGATCCTAGCACACTTTACCAGGTCTCCTAAGTGGACTCATAAATTAATTTACTATTCCAACTTTCACTCCACCTAGAAGGCGATTATTAAAACAAAAAAGGTTATAGAAATGATTCTAAAGAATATTTTTTGTATTGACCTAACTCATGGGTGTCAAGCTCAATCGCTCAGCGGGCCAAAACTCAAATAACACGTAAGGTTGTGGGCCAATCAAGATAAACATTCAATAAAGGGGGCATTAAACATTTTTCAAAAATTTAATATAGATTAAAACAGAAAGAAGTTATAATAATAAAAAATCATTGGCATACCCATTTTCGCTCTTATTTCATTTTGACAGAGCTGGGTGTTTGATATATTTTCTTGGCTACAAGTTCGTTTATGTTGGGAGCAATGGTCTATGTCATTGAGATTCTCATGATAGACTGCAAGTGTTCATCAGTGACACGACTCCTGTGTGATGCTTTGTTAACGTTCATCACAGAAACAGCTGCTCACACAGATATGTGCTACCAACCTTGCTCAAAGTTCGAGCCGCATGTAGACAAAGCTGGGACATCTCTTCAGGGATGAAACAAGTGAACTGCGCAGGCCCCACAGTGTCGTACTTTGCCTTTAGTGTCCCGTTACACCGCAGCTCTATTAGCTCCATCTGCAAATGTACAGGTGCAGTGTCCACGTCTAGGACAAATGAGTTACGAAACAGCTCGAAATGAGATTTCTGTGCTTCAAAGTCACTAAAGTGCCGTGTGAACTCAACGCGAAGTCAGCTACGTTTTTCAGCAAAGTGTGCATTGGGAAACACCATAGCGTTGACTTGGTTCAACATTGCCTGGCAACAAGAAGAGTGAGACAAGTTGCAATGGTGCATTTGTGTCTCCCATAAGCGTAGCTTCACTTGAAATGCCTTCACTGCATCATCCATGTCAGTGATAAAGTGGTTCCGGCCCTGGGGCTGCAGGTTCAAGTCGTTGAGATGAGTAGTTATGTCAGACAGAAACGCCGGCTCACATTTCCACTTTTTATCCCGAAAAACGTTCAAGTCTTTTCCTTTGCTGTCCATGAATTGACAGATTTCCTCGATCAGCTGGAAAAATCTACTAAGAAATTTTCCTCAAATTATCCACCTCACCTGTACCATAAGGAAGGTCTTTTTCTGCAAAAAATATTGAAATTGGCGGTGATTTAAACCTTTGGCTCTGATAAAGTTAACGGTTTGTGTTACAGCGCTCATTACACCTTATATGCTGAGGACTTAACCACACAGCGATCCTTTCTGTATGATGCAGTGATGTGCCATCAGTTCACCATTACAGTTCTCATGCATCTTTAACCACATCCTTCCAACTAGTCCACTTCTTTCACCGCACATCCTCGCTGCTCCATCTGTTGTAAGTGCAACAAGTTTGTCTCAAGGCAGGTTCATGTTTGTTAAACTTTGACATACGTTGTCAAAAATGTCTTTTCCTGTCGTTGTCCCATGCATGGATTTCATGTCCAATATCTCTTCTGTAACATTCAAACTGGAGTCCACTCCGCGGATGAAGATGGCGAGCTGTGCAGTGGCAGTCGTGTCATTACTTTCATCGACAGCAAGTGAGAATGCAAGGAAGTCTTTGCCTCTTTCGATCAGCTGTTTTTTCACATCAGTGGCCATCTACACAAACCGGATCAGCAACCATGTTTCTGCTCAGTTTTACATTTGAAAACATCAGCTTTTTTTTTCTGAACACAAGACGTTTCACCCTTTGACCATGCAGCGCCTCAGAAACTCTCCTTCTGCAAATGGTCGGCCTGATTGTACGATCTCCTCAGCCACAATAAAACTTTCTTTCACAGCAGCTTCAGTTTGTGATTTTGCTCTACGTCTACTGAAAAACGTCTTCTGTGACGCTAAATTGCTCTTCAACCCTCCTACCCTCTGTAGATCTGCTCTGCTTTCAGGCTTTTTTTGTTTGTTTAACTCGTCTCGATGTTTAGTCTCGTAGTGCCGTCTGAGATTAAATTCCTTGATCACAGAAACATTATCTCCACAAATAAGACACACAGGTTTAACGCCAACATCAGTAAACATATATTCAGCTCCCACGCGGCTTTGAAAGGCTCAACTTTTCTCTTGGTAATTTTAAGGCTAGCTTTGAATTTTTTAAAGATTGTGCATGATCTACCGACAAAAGTTTTATTCATATCATGTAGCTCCTATCGGGAAAAGGTGATGCAATATCCGGGCAATACACTTCTATCATTTCTTATGCATCAATCCAAAATGAGCAACAGATCGTTGCTAGGTTACTGTAACGATGAACATCCACTCACTACACAACTTTTATTTTCGCTTATTCCAATGGAAGCGAGAAC